CATGAGACAAGTGCTCGGGCCTGGTGCACTGGGAAGACCCAGAGGGATCGGGTGGAGAGGGAGGTGGGAGGGGGGACTGGGATGGGGAATACATGTAAATCCATGGCTAATTCATTTCAAGGTATGACAAAAACCACTGCAATGCTGTAAAGTAATTAGCCTCCAACTAATAAAAATAAATGGAGAAAAAAAGAAAATATTGTTAGCCATCCCTATTTGGGGAAATTCAGCAACACCCTTCCAAAAAAACACCTGAATCTGGGAATAAATTTACAACTTACAAGATATTGTGAAATAATGATAATAAAGATTGATAATAATGATAATAAACACAAAATAATGATATGATAATAAATTCTCCTAATGAAATCCAAGTAGTCCTTAAGGGAAATTTACACCCAAGATTTAGAGAAAAGGAAAGAGTGAAAAAAATGTAACCTTCCAATTAAGAAACTAGGAGATGAGAAAGTTTAAAGGATGTAGAACGTTGGGGTTAATTTAAAAAGGAATAAAAATTAATAGAAAAGAAGGTAAGCATAAGATAGAAAACATAGAAGAAAGCACTTTAAACATGGCTCATTGAAAATTGATGAACACTGAGCAATACTTAAGAAGAGCAGAGAGAAAATGAAGTTAACAATCCCAAGAATGAAAAGGGACATCACTATGAATCATACAGATTTTTTGGCCATGGTAAAATAAATTCAAAATAAGGTTTTGAATAGTGTTTAGTGAAACTGCAAAATTATTTGCATGGAATAAAACTTAATTCAATCTTGTTTTGAGATGAAGAATGGCATTTGAAAATATTAATGTACAACAAATAGGATTAGATAAATAAGTTATGATTCAATGACATGGGATAACTGAAATACTGGCAACCATACAAATGGCATAGAAGATATTTTAATGAACAAAAAGAAATTTAAAATATATTATTTTGAAAGTGGATATAAAATGGTATTGGGAAAAAAAGCTATGACCAACCTAGAGAGCATATTAAAATGCAGAGACATTACTTTGCCAACAAAGGTCTGTCTAGTCAAGGCTACGGTTTTTCCAGTAAGTCATGTATGGATGTGAGAGTTGGACTATAAACAAAACTGAGCACCAAAGAACTGAGGCTTTTGAACTGTGGTGTTGGAGAAGACTCTTGAGAGTCCCTTGGACTTCAAGGAGATCCAACCAGTCCTTTCTAAAGGAAATCAGTCCTGACTATTCATTGGAAGGACTGATGCTGAAGCTGAAGCTCCAGTACTTTGGCCACCTGATGGGAAGAACTGACTCATTGGAAAAGACCCTGATATTGGGAAAGATTGAAGGTGGGAGGAGAAGCGGATGACAGAGGATGAGATGGTTGGATGGCATCACTGACTCAATGGACATGAGTTTGAGTAAGCTCCGGGAGTTGGTGATGGACAGGGAAGCTTGATGTGCTGCAGTCCATGGGGTCGCAAGGATTCAGACACGACTGAGTGACTGAACTGAACTGATGATCCAGTCCTGTGTGTATGTGTGTGTGTGTGTGTGTGTGTGTGTGTGTGTGTGTGTAGGGACTGAGATTTAATGCAGAGATTGTATTCTGAAAGAATGTAAAGGGAGCTGGTATATCCTGCCTTGAACTTTAGAGACAAGTGCAAGCTCAGAAGATATTTAATGCTCTTTGGAACAATCATACCAAAGTTGAAACTGACAAGTATATGGGGGCAAACTCATGTGAACTGAGTTTCTTAGTATGTGAATATGTGCCTTAATAACATGATCCTACAGAGCATTCTCTCTGAGGAAACATGTTTGTTTGAGTGAACTGTGATTTCTCCTTAGCCTAATGAGAAATTCCTTCATTGTGCTCGTAGCTGGAGAGGCCAAAATGGAATCAGAGAGCCAACTTTATATTTCACTCAGAGAGTCTAACTCTATTCTTAACAGCCTACAAAGCCTGAAAAAATGACAACCACCATTATAATATGTCCCAAACCCAAGGAACCGGAAGTTTTGTTTTGGGGGTTTTTTAAAGATTTTTTTTGACGTGGATCTATTACAATATTCCTGTTCTTATATTCTGGTTTTTGTTTGTTTGTTTGTTTGTTTGTTTGTTGGCTGTGAGGTATGTGAGATCTTAACTCCCCAACTGGGGATCGAACCTGCACTCCTTACATTAGAAGATGAAATCTTAACCCCTGGGATGATGAAATCTTAACACCAGGGATGTCCCCAACTAGAATTTGAAAGAAATATAGCAAGGGAGTGAAGAACAGAACTTCTTGTTCCTTTGGGGAGGAGTGGAGTTTCCCAAGGAAGAGAGACAGAGACTTCTGACAGCACTGGGGGGAGGGGGGTGGCTTGAAATAAAGAGGGAATGTGGGATCAGGAAGGGTTGGAGAGATGGGCTTTACTAAAGCAGCCAGGAGCAAGGGCTAACCTGGAAAAGCTGACTTTCCAGGCATGTGACTAGCTCATTCTAACTTCAGGAACTCAAAGCAGGTGTCTTGGACTCTCCTGATTTAAGGGCACAGTGAAGACCAACATTCATACAGCGTCTGTGGGAACAACAAGTGAGAATATTCACCACAGGGACATTCACAAACACAGAGTTCTTGCTAAATATCTGATCCATTAAGATGTCACAGAACAAGCTTGTGCTCTCCACTGAGACAGGGAAAAATTGACCTGCCTCAGTGGAGAACATCGTCAAGTCTCTTAAGACTAAATCCCTCTTCTGCCTTCAATGCATCAGTCCATTGATGGCACCTACATTTGGTGTTAGTTTTTTTCCTTTGCATAGCGGGGTTGGAGGACCACTGATCCAAGAGGTAGGAAGGGAAAATATTACAGGCAGGAAGACAGAGTCCTGCCGAATCCTATGCTTGGGAAAGACTACAGAAAAGCAGAAACATGTCTGAGCTGTGGGTTGTTTGTGGGGAAGAGAAAGAAACTCAGAGTTCGAATGCAAATGCAGGGTTATCCAGAGGTGTGATTATAGTTTCTACTGAGAGGGCTTTACTCATAGAAAGGAAGATTTCCATATTTGCCCTCACCATATATACATACACACATATCATCACCACCATTACCATTGCTACCACTAAATCCAGCAGTCTAGCATAGAGAGTGTGAGTTCTATGGAAAGTGAAGTGAAAGAGTTAGTCATTTAGTCATGTCCAACTCTTTGCGACCCCATGGACTGTAGCCCACCATAGAATTCTCCAGGCAAGAAAATTGGAGTGGGTTGCCATTTCCTACTCCAGGGGATCTTCCCCTCACAGGGATCAAACCCAGGTCTCCTGCACTACAAGCAGATTCTTTACCATCTGTGCCACCAGGGAAGTTCTATAGACTCCTCTCTAAAAAGTCAACTTCCACTGGGCAGATTTATTTCTGTTCACACATTTAGTCTATAAATACTCTTCCAATTCACCTTTACCCAGTCCCTTATCCCACATATACAGACACACACACATGCACACACATATGTATGTTGTTGTTTAGTCATTAAGTCGTGTCTGACTCTTTGTGACCCCATGAACTATAGCCCACCAGGCTCCTCTATCCATGGTATTTCCCAGGCAAGAACACTGGAGTGAGTAGCCATTCCCTGCTTTAGGGGATCTTACTGACCCAGGGATCAAACCTGCATCTCCTGCATTGGCAGGCAGATTCTTTATCACTGAGCCACCGGGAAGTCCACACATACGTATGCATACACTCAAAGCAAACATACATAAACACACATGTGCACACACACACACATGTCCAGTCTAAAAGATCTGAAATACTGAACTGGTGGGGAGAGGTGTAAGATAAAGTATGAGAAAGACAGATCAGAGACCCAGACAGAGGCAGTCCCTCAGCCATAATCCATTAGAGGAAAACTGAGAAGTGGTCAGACATTTTCTGAGCTGTTAGGTGTACTTGGGGAGGGTTAAAAACACAAAGTTAGGTCTGTGAATAGAATTTATATCTCTGCAGCATATTGCTGCTTAACTTGAAAAACTGAGCCCCGAGGGAGAAAAATCAGCACTCACTGTCACTAAGGATCACATTTGGTCAAAACCGAATGGTCAACAAATAGAAAGGTATTGTCCTTACAGTCCCATGGATCATTCCCCTAGAATCTTATGGCTAATCCAGCAAGTCTGCTGAATTTAAGAACACTTACCTTGAGCACGCGATAGGATGCTAAAGAGCAGACAGACAAGACCCTGGAGAAAGCAGTGGCCGTTCATGGTTCTCTGATCCTCTTGTCTTTGGGTTACAGCTTCAGTTTCCCCAAACTACATGAGGGGTCCTCTTGGCCCTTAATGGAGGCTCTCACAGCAGGAAGGGGTTCATATAATCCCATCCCCTGACACTGCCATCTTCCGAGCCAATAGAAACGCTTCTTAACATCTTCCCTGCCATCAGACGCTATATAAAAGGAAACTTTCTGAAGTTCAAACACCAATTAGATGCTGAATCTTGAATATCTCCTTATATGAGATGCAAGGTTATCTGACGTCAGGTGTCATTCTGTTCGTTAAGGTGATGCAGAAAAGCTATGTTAAAAAAAAAATATATATGTAGCTTTCTTTTTCTCCATGCCAGGTGTCCGGCTCAATGGCTGGTTCAGCTCAGCTGGTGGTATCAGCCAGAAACACGGTTTCTGGGTCAGTTCTACTTCCTCTACCTCCTCAGAACCCTTGGAAAGATGAGTTTTGTTTCATTGGGTGGGAGGTCTGCAGTGTCAAGTGACTGACATATTGTGGCTGCAAAGAAAATAAGTAACTAATGGAGAAAACGAAAGGTCATGTGAGCACAAATTGGGATAAGAAAGGTGAAAAATCTTAAGTAAACAAAAAAAAAAGTGAGATGAACATGAAGGGGACCAGATTACTGGCTTCATAGGGTGAGTCTTCCCCCACTTCCATTTCTACTTGGTGAATGGAAGCCTCATAAAGATCCAGGGCTCCAGAGACTCCTGAACAGGCCTGCCCTTTTCCTGAAAACCAGTATGCCTTTCCTGTTCTCCATCTAAAGGATAGTCTTCTCTTCTCTGCATTGAATTAGTTGTGACCTCATTTCATCCTAAAGAATCAACTTCAGCCCCCAGTCTCCCCAAAAGGCCTGCTTACAACTATCTTCTTGGAGCCTGGCAAAGCTTGCCCTGCTCCTAAGACAAAATTTCTTCAATAAATGTAGGGTTAATTTTCTTCTTGATTTTGTTTTTATATTTTTTTTAAGAAATTTATCCACTTTATCTAAACTGTTTATTAGTATATAATTGTTCATAGTATATTTTCATTATCATTATAAGGTCTGTTGTATCTGAATGATTATTTTCATTTTTAATTTTGATCTTTTGTTTCCTCTTTAAAAATTATTTTTCCTATGATTTGGTCAATTTTACTAATTTTTGAAAACCCAACTTTTACTTTGCTAATGTTTTCTTTTATTTTTTCTAGACATTTACCTCATTTTTTGTTTCTTTCTACTTCTTTTGGTTTCAGTTTGCTTAACCATGGTGCTGGAGAATACTCTTCAGAGTTCCTTGACTGCAAGATCAAACCAATCAATCCTAAGGGAATAGAATATCACTTACATTGTTCCTGGAGACCCCAGTCCTCAGGAAAGGTTAAAAAGGCTAATGACATCATCAAAAGACATCTGTGCAAATTAATTCAAGAGATGTAGGACAACTGAATTAAAGTCCTACCCATAGCTTTAATGAGGGCTCAAACTGCCCCCCCAAAAAGAGGGACTGTCCCCCTTTGAATATATTTATGAAAGACTTTTCTTACACACAGACAATGTTATAGACCCTGAAGTCTTGGAATTAACTAGTTATGTAACTCAGCTCTCAGCTTTTCAACAGGCATTAACAGAACTCTGGGAAATGACTCCTGACCCAGCCTCTGAGTCAAACAAACCTCTATTTGAGCCAGGAACTGAGATCCTCATAAAAACATTGGGATCTGGGGGCCCATCCCTTGAGCCCCTCTGGGAAGACCCTTACCAGGTTATTCTTTCTTCTCCCAGAGCTGTCAAAGTGCCAGGAATTGATTCGTGGGTACATCACACTCGAGTTAAGAGGTGGCACTCTGACCAGAACTAGTGATATCATTTTATGTCTTTACTTTCTATGCTCTGACTTTGTACTTTTCAGATGGGCCTGATAATCTATGTGAGCCTACTTCTCCTGACTCCAAAGATCCTGAGTCTGCCATTTGATCCTCAAGACAATGCCTTCTTGTCCTGGGCTCACTCTTATGCTACATTCCATAACTGGTCTAACTGCTGGGTCTGCGGAGCACTCCCCTCTTCATCAGTAAAAGGCTTCCCATGGTGGACATCTCCACTTCAAGGAAAAGACTTTCTCCAAGTCTGCAAGTACCTTCGACAACAATCGTATGTGATGCCTCTTCTTCATCTGATGACATCTAACAGCCCTAAAATGAACTGCTGCAACACCTTGTACCTTAACCATGGACATAACGTGACTTTTAATTTTGATTATACATTGTCTTGGTTTAATGACTATTTTGCTACACATAAGACAAATAGGTCTAGATCTGATGGTTTTTTCCTGACATTTATCAAATATGGGATGAGGTCATATGGCTAACTCCTGAAAAAGGACGTCTAATACTGCCCTTATATGCTGGGAACAAACAGAGCCATCCCCAAAAGTTAGCCAACAACTTAATTACAAATATTGGAAACAATTGGGATTTTTGCCTCAGGAAATATGCAACGTAATCATTCCCTTGTTTTCCAACCCCAGTTCAGGTCCTCCCTTTGTCTGGCCAGGCACTGATTGGGACTGGCTATCTCAGTCACGCTGGCTTGCTCCAAATGGGACTTATTGGATATGTGGCTCTTACCTATGGGCTTGACTTCCCCCTGGTTGGATAGAGAGATGCACCCTGGGTCTAGTCTTTACTCATGGCTTTATATTTTCAGAGCTTCCAGAAAAGCCTGCTAATTTACCCCACCTTAAAACTTAGTGGGCAAGGTCTGTATTTCACTGGTATGATTATTTGGCTGCAGTGTTTGTTCCCTCTTTGGGAACTACAGATGTTATGCTATGAGTGGATGCTTTGACTAATTTTACTCAACAGGCATTACAAGATTCTCAAAAAGCTATTTCAGCTCTTAATGCTGAACAAGCACAAATTAGAAAGGTGGTTTTACAAAACAGATCGGCTTTAGATATTCTGACAGCTGCACAAGGAGGAACTTGTGCCATCATTCATACTCAATGCTGCACATATATACCTGATATGAGCACTAATGTTACTCATTTTACTAAACACATGAACAAGATGATTGGGGCCATGGATACTCCTGAAGCCTCTATTGCCTCACTTTGGGAGATGTCAACTAGCTCCCCATGGTGGAAAACTATCTTAATTATGATAATTCTGATTGTTTTGTTTTTGCTGTTTGCTCCCTGCATCTGTAACTGTGTAACTGGATTTGTTTCTAGTCGCATGAAAGCTTTTAAGTTAAAAATGGTTGCTCAAACTCCTACTGCTGCAGCTTCTTCCAACTACTACTTGGGGCCCCTGGATCAGACATCCTCAGTATGAGGATTAGAAGATTATGTTGCCTCACCAATTTAGGGACAATGCTCCTTGTCAGCTCAGAAGCAGTTATAGAATGAGCATGACACCCCCTTTCCCTAGGCAACATAATTCTCCTAAAAGAAAAGGGGGGAATGAGAGGGTAACAGGCAGGAAGGCCAGGGGTCTCCAAATGGAGAAAATAGCCTGCAAGTATCAGACATTTTTATCTCTCTTAAGCAGCAGGAGGAAACAAATTAGCGATATTTTTTTCCCTCTCTATACAAATTTAAAAGGAGGTTTCTCTTAAAATACTGTGTTGCCATAATGACACCTGGTTTCACCTGAAGCTAACTATTCTCAAACCTTGAGTTAACCAATACATTTTTCTTATGGAAATGTTTGTCTTAATCTATGTTAATGTGCTATGCATTTATCCCAGACTCTGTCTTCAAGTCGGTTCCACCTAATGGCTCAGAACCTACTTGACAAACCAGTATGTTATACTCAGGTATTGTTCCCCTAATCTATGTAAGTGAAACTATTTGTATGGTAATCTGCCCTTCTACAAGATTCAAGTCAATCGTTTTATGGCCTGGGATGAATCATCTGGTGTCAAGATTATCCCAAAATGCATCTTATGGATGAGGGGCCTGTTGCCATTCTGAGTTTTAAGACATCCCTTTCTTTTCTTTAACAGACTGCTAGTGGAGAAGGAAATAGCAACCCACTCCAGTGTTCTTGCCTGGAGAATTCCAGGGATGGGGGAGCCTGGTGGGCTTCCATCTATGGGATCACACAGAGTCGGACACGACTGAAGTGACTTAGCAGTAGCAGCAGCAGTGACTATATAACATCCAGCTGAAGACTAGCAGGGGGGCACTCTTTCTGCCCCCTTCTGATGCCTATGTCAGAAGCTTTCTCTCTCTCCTTTATACTTTAATAAAACTTTATTACACAGAAGCTCTGAGCGATCCAGCCTCGTCTCTGGCCCCGGTTTGAATTCGTCTCTTCCGGAGGCCAAGAATCCCGGCGTCTTATCGTTCAGCAACAACCTTTCAGAAATCAACCTTGAATATCCATTGGAAGGACTGATGCTGAAGCTGAAACTCCAGTACTTTGGCCACCTGATGCAAAGAGCTGATCATTGGAAAAGACCCTGATGCTGGGAAAGATTGAAGGCAGAAGGAGAAGGGTGTGACAGAGGATGAGATGGTTGGATGGCACCGCCAACTCAATGGACATGAGTTTGAGCAAGCTCCGGGAGATGGTGATGGACAGGGAGACCTGGTGTGCTACAGTCCATAGGGTCACAAAGATTCAGACACGACTGAGTGACTGAAGAACAACAGCTTCCTAAAGTTAATCATTAATATTTTAATCTTTTCTTATTTCCTTTTTTGGCCATGCCATGCAGCTTACCAGGTTTTAGTTCCCCTACCAGGGCTCCAATTCATGTCCTCTGCAGTGAAAGCATGGGGTCTTAACCACTGGACAGCCATGGAAGTCCCTCTTTTTTTTTTTAATATAGGTATTTAAAACTAGGCAATTTCCTCTAAGCAAAGCTTTAGCAGGCTCTCACAATTTTTAATATATTTTCTTTTCACTATCATTTAATTCAAGATATTTCCTAAAAATGCTGATATATTCATTACTTTTGGAAAACTTTTTAAAGTATTTTTAAATTTCCTACTATTTATGCAATTGCTAAGCATATAATTTTTTAACCTTGTTTTTTATTGACCAAAAATGCAAGTAGCAAGCATTGGTGAGGATGTGGAGAAAAGACAACCCTAATACATTGTTGGTGGGAATGTAAATTAGTGCAGTACTTTGGAAACCAGAATGGAGAGTCTTCAGAATTTGCTGCCCTGTCAGAATGATGGAGATGCCTGTTGACCTGGTAGCTGAAACCAACTTGGACATGATACTCTGCAAAGATGAGACTTCCTTTCCATGGCAAAATACATATACCCTAAATCAATCACACAAGTCAGTTATCATTGTATGGTTACCCATGATATACCCAACAGTAAGAATATACAGATCCAAGAATCAGTGGAAACTGAAATGGTTATGCTTTTATTCTCAAGGTCCACTTGAGAAATTTGCACTTCCCATATTCCAAGTCTAGGCTTTATGGATTTAGCTCTGGTTCACAGAAGGAAAAGTGATTTTACCAAGGGACACAGTAAGTGTCACCTTAAACTTTAAGCCATGACTGCTTCCCAGTCACCCTGAGATTTTCATGGCAAATTACCAACAAGCAAATAAACAATAAACTAGTTTCAAAGCTAGATTACCCTAAATATCAGAAGGAGAATTGCTGCATGACAGGTGTAGGCAAAAACCTATCTGAAACCCAGGCAAACTATTTGGGATCTCTTGGCACTCCATTGCCCCATTCTGATAATAAATATAAGAGTGCATCAGCCACAGCATGGCAAGTGTATAGTGGCCAGGATTTCAGACCTCTCAGGGTGAGGGTGTGGACCACTCTACCAAGTGAGTTGCCTAGACCAGCAGAGGTGCTAATAGATGGTGAAGGAAATCTAGAATGTGGTAAATGAGGGAAATGATGATTTATTGCTATGGACGCAACATCCAACCACAGTGGTGGGATCTGTACCTTGTCTTAACTAACCTTCCTCTTGCAAGTTATCCTGGAAAAAGAAGAAGTATATAAAAATCCAACAAGAATAAACTCTCAGAATTTCATGTAAAATATATACTTAACTTGGGCTTCCCAGGTGGCGCAGTGGTAAAGAATCCACCTGCCAATGCAGGAGATGCAGGAGGTGAAGGCTGGATCCCTGGAGGAAATGACAACCCACTCCAGTATTCTTGCTTGGGAAATCCCATGGACAGAGGAGCCTGGCAGGCTCTGGGGAGTTGCAAAGAGTTAGATACTACTGAGTACACTCACACAACATACTTAAGTTAAATAATGAAGTAAATGAATTAAAGGTACAAAAATGAATGAGCAGTAGGAAAGGATAGATGCTATGGTATGAACCTCTGTCTGGCTGAAGCACTTGCTTCCCAGGAGCTATGAGTGATGGTGGCTATTCTTTTCGTGGGGAGCATCCTCATTCAATGACACTTTAGTACACAGATATATAAATTCCACCCCTTTCCCTCCACTTAGGACAAATATAAAGGACCACTCCAGCTCACCATGGGGTTAACTGAGCCTTTGTGTGAACTGCAGGATAGTTCAACTTCTCCCTCTGTTCAGCCTGCCTCCTTTAGTTTCTGTGTCAGGGCAGAGAGTCCTCCCCAGAGGCCAGCACTTGTTACTGTAAGAAGACAGCAAAGGAAAAAAGGATGCTACAGTGAAATATAGTTGAGAGGTCTGAGCTCTGGCTTGAAACTCTGTACAGGAGAATTAGTTTTGAAAGCTTGGAGGATGAGGTATGTACTGGGTTGAATAGTGGCTCCCCCACCCCCATTCATGTCCAATCAGAACTTTTGAATGTAACATTATTTAGAAATAGTGTCTTTGTAGATGTAATCTCAAAGGAGATCAAGCCAGTCAATCCTAAAGGAAATCAACCCTGAATATTCATGGGAGGGTCTGATGCTGAAGCTCCAGTACTTTGACCACCTGATGTGAAGAGCCAACTCATTGGAAAAGACCCTGTTGCTGGGAAAGATTAAGGGCAGAAGAGAAGGGGGCAACAGAGGATGAGATGGTTGGATGGCATCACCGAATCAATGGACATGCATTTGAGCAAACTCTGGGAGATGGTGAAAGACAGGGAAGCCTGGTGTGCTGTAGTCCATGGGGTCGCAAAGAGTCCAACACAATTTAGAGACTGAACAACAAGATGAAATCAAGTTCAGATGAGGTTTTACTGGATTAGTGTGGATCTTAACCCAATGACTAACGTGCTTACAATAAAAGGGACATTTATATACAGACATAGAGAGAAGACACAAAGTGAAAACAAGAAACACAGGAGAAAACTCCATGTGATGATGGAGGCAGAGAATGAAGCATAGCATCCGTGAACCAAGGAATGTCAAGGATTGTTGATAACACCAGAGACTGGAAGAGGCAAGGAAAGGAACCTCCATGAAAAGCTCCAGAAGTAGCAAAACCTTGTTTACACCCTGACTTTGGTTTTCTAGCCTCCAGATTCTCCAGATCTGTGAGAAAATAAATTTCTGTTTAAAGTTATTAATTTCTTACAGTAACTTTAGGAAACAGGGTAACAATGCAAAAAGTCGTGGTTTTTTTTTTTTTCCTAAGAACTGTTTCAGGAGGTTCTCTGGTGGCTCAGTAGTAAAGAATCCACCTTCCAATGCAGGAGACATGGGTTCAGTCCCCGGTCTGGGAAGATCCCACATGCAATGGAGCAGCTAAGCCCATGTGCCACAACTGTTGAGCCTGTGCTCCAAAGTCTGAGAGCTGCAACTACTGAAGCTTGAGCACCTTAGAGCCTGTGCTCTGCAACAACAGAAGCCACCTCAAAGAGAAGCCTGCACACCACAAGGAAGAGTAGACACCACACTCCACAACTAAAGGAATGCCCAAGCAGCAACGTAGACCCAGGACAGCCAAAATAAAAAAAATAAAAATTTTAACTAAGAAGTATTTCTGTGTACTATAAATGTTCTTACACTAGATGGGACTATGGCATGAATTTCTGGGTTTCTCCAGGCACTTTTGGAGGGGTACCTAGAATCTCCAAGGAATATGGGGTGAGGGAGTCAGGGTTCATGCATATCCTGGTGATGTTTGGACATTCTGAGGTTCTTTGACGTCCAGACCATAGGAAAAATTTGCCTCTTATTTTAACAGATACAGTGTTCCATTCCTTCTGTCTTATGTGACAGGAGAGTTAGTCAAGATTCTTTCTGGTGCACACATTTCAGAGGGGACTGAATGTGCCCTGAGGGGACATTCAGAAAGGGATCAGGAGTCTCTGCTCAGGGAAATTTTCCCTCCCTTGGTTTCACTTGGGGCAAAAAGTTGGAGAAAGAGATCCCTAGCCATATATATGGGTGCCTTTCCCTTTGAGGATGTTCTTATCCTGAACAGGGGTGCCCTGAACTTTCTCTCTGCTCTGATGCGGGCAAGCTCTCTCCCTGGAAAGGAACTGGGTGTGATGCTTCTGAACTATGAGTCTGTGGCTGTTGCAAAGCTTCCTGATATCCCTTAGCATTCTCTCATTTTATTCTTTATTGGATATAGTTGCTTTACTCTGCTATACAGCAAAGTGAACCAACCATACATATACATATATCCCCTCCATTCTGGATTCCTTTCCCATTTAGGTCACCAAAGAGAGCTGAATAGTACCGCTGTGCTACACAGTAGGTTCTCATTAGTTATCTGTTTGCCGCACTGTTTACAATAGCCAGGACATGGAAGAAACCTAAATGTCCATCAACAGAGAAATGGGTAAAGAAGATGTGGCACATATATACAATGGAATATTACTTGGCCATGAAAAGGAATGAAACTGTGCCATTTGCAGAGACATGGATGGACCTAGAGAGTGTCACACAGAGTTTTGTAAATTGGAAAGAGAAAAATATCATATATCATATAATATATTAATACATATACATTGAATCTAGAAAAATGGTGCAGATAAACCTATTTGAAGTAGAAATAGAGATCAATATGGAGAACAAACATGAACACCAAGGAGGGAAAGGGGGATGGGATGAATTGGGGGGGTTGGAACTGACATCCTTAGTATTCTCTTGTGTAACTCCTCAGAAAAGTATAGGATGGGGCTGAGATCCCCAGAGGACAGAGCCTGAGTCAGTCTCTACCAGGCTCTCACAATCTCCCATTGTGTCTGAAGCTGTGACTTCATCACCCTGAGCACTCAGAAGGTGCCAGTGAGGGGCAGGATTCTCCCATGTCCCTTCCCACCTTGAGAACATGTTTTTTTTAGGGAACCACTCAAGCTCCCACCCTGGCCCTGGGATCTTCTTTGTGACAGGCATCCTTGGCTGTGCCTTGGGACCCTGCATGTTCCTTTTTTTCGTTTTCCTGGCGATTCAAAAGTGCAGACAGAAAATAAAGTGCGAAGGTATACTCTAAAATGGAGACGATGATGAGGAGAGCTTGTGGGCAGTGGGCGAGAAGAGCCACACTGTGATGTGGGATACTGAATCTGCATCTTGTCCTCATTACATTTTCTGGGAAATGATACTTGTGTTTCTCTGGACTCAGCCTCGGTGAACTTCAACTAGGCATGCCAAGGAAGCATGATGTTGTACATCACAGCAGTAAGTTTAGTATCAAGTACAGGGACACAGGTTAGGACTGGGTCAGGAATTCTTAGTATGCCCATAAGACATGAGATTAACGGCTCTGATGAACTGAGTGCAGTCCCAGAGATGTCATAGATAGCACTCTATAAAGGTGTTTCAAGATGTGAGTTTCTGACTCAGAATCTTTATATCAATCTTGTCCTCATGTAAATATTATCTATGGGAGCCTAAGCCTGGGGAGGAAAGACAGATGGAGTCAGGTGGAGAAGTCCCTCGTGTATTCTTCTAGGCATAAAAGATGATTTGGGGTGATTCATAGCATCACCTGTGGCCGCGGCATCCACATACGAGATCCCTGTGTCCCACTTTGGACCTATAGCTCTCTCCCTGCTCTGAAGACACCACCAGTTATCCCCAGTGAATACTGTCTTCTCTCTGGGATGCCTGGGGTTCTGTTCTGACCCCTTATCTAGTTTTTACACACGTGGATTTTTCTTTTCATGTCTTTTCTTGGATTGTTTCTTACCTGTTAGATGATTCTGTGGCAGAGTTGCCCAGGAATGAAAACAAAGTTGATTCTGGACATGTCCTACACAAGGCAGGGCCTTCTGCTCTTGAAAATGGGGATGAGGGTAGGAAAGTATTGTGTGGAAGAGATGCTGAAAAGAGTTTTGGGAGATGGAAACCTCAGTTCTCTAGAAGGGAGGGTCTGTCTTCCTGAGGACCATGCTCTGAGGAAAAGAATGACTGTTTCTCCAGCAGGTTTAAACTCATCTTTTTATGACACCTCAGTTACTGTCTCATGACCTCAGAGAGGAAGAAATAGATTGAGTTCTCTGTCTGTATAGATGCTTTAAGAGTTTCCAATATGTTGGGACTTCCCTGGTGGTCCAGTGCTTAAGACTTCGCTTTTCAATGCAGGGAGTGTGGTTTCGATTCTTAATTGGGGAGGTAAGATCCCACGTGCCTTGAAGCCAAAAAGCCAAACCATGAAACAGAAGTCATATTGTAACAATTTCATTAAAGGCTTTAAAAATGGCCCACATAAAAAAATCTTTAAAAAAATAATTTCTGATGTGTGGACATGTATGGATAATGTGAATGCATTTCCCAAACCAAGATGTCTGGTTTGATAAAACATCATAAATGTTCAGAGCAAGAGACAATTGAGAAATATTATTGAAAGATGTTACTGAAAGATATTGCATTTGGTGAACATTTTGATGTTTTATGGGGAAAATGCTAACAGGATTTTGAAGCTGATATATCCACCAATTATCCAGAATGTCTTTAATTGTAGATTCTAGGATTATCTGTTCTTGAAGGGATCATAAGGATTGTATAGTCAAACACTACTCCACAAATATAGTAACAAAGTAGATAATGTGTGACTTTCTCAAGGTTACATAAGAAGTCACTGTTAGATCCAGGATGACACTATGCTGATTCCTAGGGATGGGATCACTCCACCTACATTTGTTGTTCAGTCACTAAGTCATGTCTAACTCCTTGTGACCCCATGGACTATAGCCTGCTAGGCTCCTCTGTCTTCCAGTGTCTCCTGGAGTTCTGTCAAACTCATGTCCATTGAGTCGGTGATACTATCTCACCATCACATCTTCTGCTGCATGTGTGAGTGCTTAGTTGCTTCAGTCGTGTCTGACTCTTTGAACCACATAGACTGTAGCCCACCAGGCTTCTCTGTCCATGAGGATTCTCCCAGGCAAGAATACTGGAGTGGGTTGCCATGCCCCGCTCCAGGGGATCGTCCCAACTCAGGGATCGAACCCAAGTCTCCTACATTGCAGGCAGATTCTTTACCATCTGAGTCACCAGGGAAGTCCCATCATCTGCTCCACCTTTCTTTGCCTTCAATCTTCCCAGCATCAGAGTCTTTTCCAATGAGTCAGCTCTACACATCAGGCGGCAAAAGTGGAGCTTCAGTTTCAGCATCAGTCCTTCCAGTGAATATTCAGGGTTGATTTCCTTTAGAATTGACTGGTTTGATCTCCTGGCAGTCCAAGGGACTCTCAAGACTCCACCTGCATGCTTAAGGACAGAAGAGAAGTGGTCTAAAATTCAATGAGAAAAATAAAGGCTTCTATGCCTGAAATTCTTCCTGAGATCTATTATCTCTTTATGGATGAGATGACCATCCCAGTGTCCACCTTCATGGGAATGTGATCTCTGCAGTGGCACAGGCTGCCACATTAAGAATGAACTTGAACTTGGTTTATCACTTTCCTGTTGCCATCTTGAAATGTTTAATAGTTTTTGTATAAGGAGATCTGCATGTTGGATAATAAGGTCCCCAAAATTCTATATCCCAGAAAATATTCCCTGAGAAGCAAGTAAAAGAGAAGTCTGATCTCTTATAGTTATAGTCTTATTTCCTGGGAAGATGCGTTTGAACCCTTAAAAACCAATCCTTCCTGGAAAGACAAAATTTAAGTGAGCCCATATTTAGTTATTTCTGTGTATTTTTAGGAAGTCTGGAATTAAATCAGATTTCACAGTGGCTACCTTCCTGCAGTTACAACCAGGCATGTATTTTTTTTGATGCTGTGATCTTATTTTCTTAATCACAACAATCTCATAGATTATCAAAATATTTAGGTGGTTAATCCAAGATGTGACAAAGTGAGAAATACAGTTAAAATGGCAAAATGTTGATATTAAGATATATTTTGATACTCTATAGCTGCTAAAATGTCAAGATTACTGTGATACCTGTTTTCGTGGAGGCGGTTTTGGATGAAAGGTGAGAATCCCTTCATCTTTCTTTAAGACCCATGGTAGGACTAATTTCATAATTTTCAGATTCCAATGCAAAATGAAAGTGTGGATTTCCATGTTCAAAAATTATTAAGACATTGAAGTTGGTGACAGTAGAGCTTTAAACCAAGCCCAGGGCCCTTCTGAGCATAGGTTGCTGTTCGTGATTTGCCCAGATCCACAGAATTTCAGAGCTGGAGGGCCCAATAAACTGTCTTTACCATAGCAATGTGAAGGTGGTGGGGTTCCTTGGGAGAAGAAAAACTGTGAAAACTGAAGCAGCTTTAGCCATTGAAGACTTTCAGAAAAGGCTAGGGTTATCCTTGTAGACCCTTGGGAAGCTGGGATCTGGTCCCTAAGTGGTCCTCATGGGGTAGATAATAATGGAGTTGTATCTTCTTCTCACCAGTTCCTCTGATTTAGTACTGAGAAAAGTCGAATGCTCAAAATTCCTTTCTCCAGTTTCAGGTTCCTACCATCTGTATAGACTGAAAGTTAGAGTTCACAGAAGTTTTTAAGTCTCTGTTACAGATACTTCCTGGACATGGTCTGAGATCAACAATCTATATATTTAAAATGCTTTTCCTGATGTGTTTTATATCATGCAGAAATGATCTCGATCTGAGTTACCAAGAATGCTGTGTGTTCACTTTTTCCTCCATTCTGATGCCTCTAGAGGGCTCTGTTTCATCTGAGTCATAAACATAACCAGGCCCTAAATTTGCTATTGCAGGCTGGTTTTCACGTTCCTCAAAGAAAGAAGATCTGGGAGAGGAGAAACTCCTGACCAAAGAGTGTGAGTTTGGAAATGAGGATGCTGCACTTGGAAGCTGTGGAATTCCATTTGAAGAACAAATATGTGTCTATTGAAGCTCCTGTTACATTTTGGTCCAAACTAGAAGTACAGAAAATATCACTTCATATGTCAAAAAAAGGGTAACACTGACTTGTGTCCCATTTTTACATACATTGTCCAACAATAAATACTTTGGTCCTTCCGTATCAGTTATTGGGAAATTTTTGTGAACATCTAGAGACTTTAACACAAACAGCTTTTACAATATTCATCCCCTCACAACTTTCGTCCAAACATATATATTTTCTTCTCTGGAGTTAAGCCCTAGGTGAGTGATCCATGGTCAGACTGAGAGAGATGCTGAATCCAGATCCAGACTCAGGGTTCTTCTTCTCCCAAGATGACCTCATAGTAACAGCACTTGAATATTCCAGAAATGCTCTATCCTAATTACATCATCTCTTCTTACTTAAGTTGGGTCCCCTCCCAGGAAATTGATTTCATGGAGTTAGATATAGGTTTGGCAGAATCTTCTTAGTAAAACTGAATCTAAAAACTTCTCAGAAGCGTAACTGAAATAAGAAAGTACAGAAGTCATTTAGAAGTAGAATGTTTTTATGTTAACTTTGTAATTTTGGTTGTGAAGATTCTTAGGCTTCAGCTTTATTTTTCAAACACAATTTTGTCTTTTTATGATTGAGTTACTAGTTATAGGACATAATGTGTGCTACCTGGTTAATTTAAATGAAGATTATTTCTTTTTTGGCATTTTTAAAATTTATTTTTAATTGGTTAATTGCTATACAAGACAGCATATTAAAAAACAGAGACATTACTTTGTCCACAAAGGTCCATCTAGTCAAGGCTATGGTTTTTCCAGTGGTCATGTACGGATGTGAGAGTTGGACTATAAAGAAAGCTGAGCTCAGAAGAATTGATGCTTTTGAACTGTGGTGTTGGAGAAGACTCTTGAGAGTCCCTTGGACTGCAAGGAGATTCAACCAATCCATCCTAAAGGAGATCAGTCCTGGGTATTCATTGGAAGGACTGATATTGAAGCTGAAGGCCACTTGATATGAAGAACTGACTCATTTGAAAAGACCCTGATGCTAGGAAAGATTGAGGGCAGGAGAAGAAGGGGATGACAGAGGACAAGACAGTTGAATGGCATCACCGACTCCATGGACATGGGTTTGGTTGGACTCCGGGAGTTGGTGATGGACAGGGAGGCCTGGTGTGCTGTGGTTCATGGAGTTGCAAAGAGTCGGACATGACTGAGTGACTGAACTGAACTGAACTGTACAGTGTGTGCTGGCTTCTGTGATACGACAGCGTGAATCAGCTATATGTATACATATATCCCTTCCCTGTCGAGTCTTCCTCCCACCCCTCCAGGTCATCACAGAGCTGAGCTCCCTGTGCTATACATCGGCTTCCCACTATCTATCTATTTTACACATGGTAGTGTATTTATGTCAGTTATACTCTCTCAGTTCGTCCCACTCTCCCCATCCCCTGCTATGTTCACAAGTCCGTCCTGTACATCTGCATTTCTATTCCTGCCCTGAATATTGGTGCCTCTGTACCATGTTTTTTAGATTCCATATGTATGTATTAATAAATTATTTAAATGAAGATTATTTCTCATGTCCTCAAGTATAGTGACTGTTTACAATGTAAATCAATTCAAGTTACCCCATAGTACAGTTAGATTTTAGTTGGGAAAACAACTTTCAGTTCCTTGTTCTCACTTCCTCTAGCTAAAGAAAAAGATCAGAAATGATGAGTCTCTTGGTGGATAAGAAAAGAACTGGGAGCTGGATTACCGTCAGGTTTAGTGATGATTCACTAGGAACTGGACCTTTCTTGTTCCCTCAGCTTGCTAGTCATGGTGAACGTGGATAGTCTTTTCAGCTCTCAGCTCATATCCTAGAAGATACTGGTACATGACACTTTGGGAAATAGTCGTTATAAGCAGCTGTACTCTCTCTATGGGCTTCCCAGGTGGTGCTAGTGGTAAAGAACCCATCTGCCAGTTCAGGAGACATGAGATATGGGTTCAATCCCGGGGTCAGGAAGATTCCCTAGAGGAGGGCCTGGCAACCCATTCCAATATTCTTGCCTGGAGAATCCCAAGGACAGAGGAGACTGGTGGGCTACCCAGTCCATGGGGTTGCAAAGAGTCGGACACAACTGAATGACTAATATTTTAGATTCAAGCTGTTGTTCAGTCACTCAGTCATGTCTGACTCTTTGCGACCCCATGGACTACAGCACACCAGGCTTCCCTGTCCTTCACCAACTCCCGGAGCTTGCTCAAACTCATATCTATCAAGTCAGTGATGCCATCCCACCATCTCATCTTCTGTCATCCCCTTCTCCTCCTGCTTTCAATCTTTCCCAGAACCAGGGTCAGCTCTTCTCATCAGGAGGCCTAAGTAATGGAGCTTCAGTCTTAGCATCAGGTCTCAAGCTAGAAGTACAGATAAATCAAAAGATGAGCTCTTACAAGAAAAAAGTACCTGCTTTCATCCCCAAATTCCATTCTAATGTGTACCTGTCAGTGGAAAGTGGAGAGAATAAGGTCCTTAATTTCTCACTTGCTGTAGAATATGTAATCCTATACAGAATAGGGTCAGACTTGCTCATCTTCTGAGCTTCCTGGAAAAATCATTAGAGTTCACACATCTGCTGAGGACAAATATACCATCTACATAAAACACGTTCAAGTTCTCAAGTCCTTTGACTAATAAGAAATAAAGTGGTTTGAATCATTAGCTTTGTATACTGTACTTAATACTTCTTTTTTTTTCTTTTTTTTCCATTTATTTTTATTAGTTGGAGGCTAATTACTTTACAACATTGCAGTGGTTTTTGTCATACATTGAAATNAAACCATTTTAATTCAGCTCAGAGTTTTGATGAATTTATTGTTCCTAAAGTGTAGCCAGGTAAAAAGTAAATGATATACACCAATGAAGTACATTGTCCTGTTGACTTTTATATAAAAAGATGGCCTGCTGTTTTTGGAGTGATGAAAGAGCACTGTTGGACAAACCAGGAAACATCACAGAAGGTCTCAATTTCTTCCTCAAATTACACTTTCTTATTCCAGGACACAGCTTTCACTCTGTAAAACTTTGTCCCCAAAGGAACTTTAAATCTGTTTTGTGCCTTTTTGGCCTGGCAGTACTCCTTTTCCATCACTTTTCCGAGGACCCACGGTCTTCGAGATGCACCTGAAGCGCCCTCTCCCGGCCTGAGGTCCAGAGCAGGCAGGGACTCCGCGTGCAGGAAGTAGAGGGTGGGGCTCACGGTGAAGAGCACGTAGTTGTCGTGGCGCTCGTCCAGGATGATGAGCACCAGGTCGCCCACCTGGAAATCTCTAATGGCTATCTTCTCAGAATGCCTCGAGGATACGGAAGACATGCTCTGAGACATCAGTCTCTGATTTAACCGCTTGTTTTCTTCTTCTTTCAACTGTAGTGTTCGTTCCAACAGCATTATCCGCTGTCTTTCTTCAGAGAGCACGTGGACGTTTTCTTGGACAGACATCGTGCTAGTCTCCATGGCTGAGTCTGGCCTCCCCTCACCAAGGGTGTCCAGGGCCTCCACCGGGGGCTCAGGAGCACAGGCCCCGTACAACTCTGGGGCTGCGGCCATGCCCGGGGAGGGCACGAAGGCACCGCCCCGCAGCCAGCTAACCTCCTCTTCCAGTCGCTTCTTCTCTTCCAGCAGACGCGCACGGTCCTCAGACAGGTACTCGATCAGATCTTTGTCCCGCTCCTGCTGCTGCATTGTGCTCTTGAGCTTATCACCGAGATCATTGATTATGTTTTCTTTCCTCATTTTCTCTCTTGTTAAAACGGTGTTAAAATTGGTCTGCTGCTCAGCAATCTGCTCAGCAATCAAAGATGTTCTAACATTCTGCATCTCCTCATTCTTCCTTTTCTCCTGCTCTTCAAGTTGTTCTAGAAATTTAGCTTTTTCTTCCTGGAGCTTTTCTTGAAGTTCAGCAACTAGGCTTGAAGAATCTTCTCTGGCAGATTCCATGGCATGACTTTTTGCTAATTGACTCTCAAGATGTTTAACTTTCTCTAACAAGTCTTTCTCAACAGCTTCTCTTTCCAAGTGCATTTCTTTTCTGGCAGTCTCAATAGCAGCTTCTCTTTCACAATTAAGCCTCTGAACTAGCTGATCTCGGTCCCGTTCCTGTCTCATGACAAATTCTTCTTTGTCTTTCTCTAGCTTCTGGATAATAGCTTTGTACATATCCTCTTGCTGGGATACTTAAGTACTTAATACTTCTTAAAAAAAAAAAAAGAAAGAAAGAAAGAAAACCTTTTTGTACTGGGATATAGCCAATTAACAAATAATGCTGTGATAGTTTCAAGTGAACAGCGAAGGGACACAGCCATACATATGTGTGTATCCATTCTCCCCCAAACTCTCCTCCCACTCAGGCTGCCCCATAACATTGAGCAGAATTCCCCATGCTATACAGCAGGTCCTTGTTGATTATCTATTTTTAAAAAAGCAGTATTGTACTAGTGTTTCTAATAGCACTTGAGTGTTTTGGGGCTATCATACTTCTAACCATGACTTCCTGAAAGTGTTTCTGTTAAAATTTAAATCTTTTTTTCTCTTCTATGCCTCCGATCTTCTCTCTTCCCCGTTTCACCTGATGTGTAGACATTTTGCCTCTTCTTTCTCATCCAAAACATTGGTATGAAGAGCTTATTTTAGAGTTCCCTAGTTGCCTAGATTTTAGGATTCTGGACTTTCACTGCTATGGCCCGGGTTCTATCTCTGGTGGGAAACTGAGATCCTGCAAGTCGTAAAGTGTGGCCAAAACAGGGGGGAAAAAAAAAAAGAAGCTTACTTTATGTGGTCAACATCTACTAAAGCTTAAAGTTAGAGGAGGGAGAGTAGGGGATATAGCCTGGTGCAGAATGTAAATAAATGACAATTTTGACCTAATCTTAACATCCCAGCATTGTTCTCCCCCATTCTCTCTGCTTGAGGGATTTCTCTTGGTTTTTGTTTCTGTTTTTCTTGGCGCTAATAGTAAAGAACCTGCCTGCCTGCCAGTGCATGAGACATAAAAGACATGGGTTCAGTCTCTGAGTTAGAAGATCCCCTGGAGGAGGGCATGGCAACCCACTCCAGTATTCTTGCCTGGAGAATTCCATGGACAAAGGCTGGG